TTTACCCTCGTGTCAGAAGTACAGTTTGCAAATATCCTTTCATTTTGTAGGTTGTCTCTTTGCTCTTTCAGTTGTTTACTTTCCTGTGCAGAAGTTTAGTAGTTTGATGTAATTCTATTTGTGTGGTTTTGCTTTTATTTCCCGGGCTAGTGGAATGTTGTCTTTAAAAAAAAAAAAAAAAAAATCCTTATCCATTCTAGTGTCCTGAATGTTTTTCTTACATTTCCTGATAATAATTTTATACCTTCAGGCCTTCTACTTTATTCATTAATCTATTTTGAGTTGATTTTTGTCACTGATGAGAATTAGGGGTCTAGTTTCTTTCTCTTGAAATTCCACTTTGTTCTTTTGGCTCAAGATCGCTTTGGCTATTTGGGGTTTTTCGTGGTTCCACACAAATTTTAGGATTGTATTTCTTAGTTCTGTGAAGAATATCTTAGGTATTTTAATAGGGTTTGTATTAAATTTGTAGATCAGTTTGTGTATTATGAAAATTTTAACAATACTGATTTTCCACTCCATGAACGCAATGTGTCTTTCTACTTTTTTATGCCCTCTTTAATTTACTTTATCAGTGTTTTGTGGTTTTCATTGTAGAGATCTTTCACCTCTTTGGCTAATTGTAATCCTGGAGTTTTATGTTGTAGCTCTTGTAAATGGGACTGCTTTCTTGATTTTCTTTTAGGTAACATTGGATTATAGCAGTGTAACTGCTTTTTATATGTTGATTTTGTGTCCTGTAATTTCACTGAGTTCGTTTATTCTAGTTGTTGGTGGAACCCTTAAGGTTTTCCAGATTTGGATGCCCTTTATTTCTTCTCTTGCCTGATTGTTCTGCATAGGACTTTCAGCAGTATATTAAATAAAAATGCTAAAAGTAGGTATCCTTCTCTTGTTCCAGATCTTAGAAAGCTTTCAGCTTTTCCCCACTCAGTGTTAGCTGCTAATGTATTTTATATGGCCTTGTGATGAGATATATTCCTTCTATATCTAATTTGTTCAGTTTTTATCGTGAAGGAATGTTGAATTTTATCAAATTTCCTTTCTTCATCTGTTAAGATGATTGTGTAATTTTTGTCCTTCATTCTGTTGATGTAGTGTAGCAAGTTTATTGATTTGCATATGTTGAACCATGCTTGCATCTCTACAGTGAATCCTACTTTACTATGGTGAATAATCTTTTTTGATGTACTATTAGATTTGGTTTGCTTATATTTTGTTGAAGGTGTTTGCATCTGTGTTCATCAGGGATACTGGGTAGTAGCTTTTTTTTTTTTATTGTTGTGGTTTTGGCTGGTTTTGGGTATCAGTATAATATTGGCCTTATAGAATGACTTTGGAAAAATTCTTTATACTCTTCAATTTCTGAGATAATTTAAGAATTGTTATTCTTTAATGTTTGGTAGAATTCACCTGTGAAACTGAGCTATATAAATAAAACTGAGCTTTAATGATAAAAATAATAGATCTTGAACTGGGCTTAGTATCATATTCCTTGGTAATACAAGACTGAGAGGCTGAGGCAGGAGAATCACAAGTTCAAGCCCAGCCTAGGTAAGTTAATGATTTATTGAGACCCTGTCTCAAATTAAAACATAAAAAGTACCGGGGATGTAGCTCAATGCAAAGGCCTTGAATTCATTCTCTAGTGTTGCAGAAAATGAATGGATGATTGGATAGATAAATAATTAAATAATCTTTAACAGAGGAAGAATTATTTTTTTAACTAGACTTAATGATTAAAAAACAATATTAAATTCTTATTTTCTTGAGCTTTTGATTTTAAAAAGTTACTAATTTTGCCCTTTTCTGGTTTATTTTGTTAGATTATAAGAGAGATTTAAAAGAAATTTAAAACTTTTATTAAACTAGTATAGAACATTACATATACCATGAATAATTATGAATTATAATTTAGCTTCCAAAAATGTTTATTCTGTTACTCGCTTGAGAAGCAATCATAATCCTAATGTTTTTTACCTGGGTCCAGTATATTTTTGAAACAGTTAAACTATTTACAGAATTATGTTAATCATTAAACTAATTCTTAGTTATTTCACTGTTTCCTCACATAGAAATTTATAACAATAGTATGTGTTTGTTTCACCAGTGCAGCAGAGAAGTATATAAAGCAAACTGAAAGGTAGTCTTAATGCTGCCAGCGTTTCTGTTTCCTGCCTTTGCCTGGCATTCTTGCTCCCAGACACGGTCATTTCTAACACTTCAGTGTGTGTGTTTTAAGACCTGTTTGGGAGTAACTTTGTACCCCTGCTTGTCAGTAGGCCATGTGCCATGGGATCCATGTCTTTTAGAGCCCCCCACACTGGGTTGGTGGTGATTTCGTTTATTATGATTGCGGGATCGGCACTAAAGAGGAGGGCAGATGTGGTTGAGTCAGCCTTCCCCATGGCCTCACCTTCTATGTAGTAAGAGAGATGTTTAGAAGAACAACTAAGATGTAAGAGAAGAATAGATGAGATATTGTGGGATTCATAGTGTAGAGAAAATGCATTTGACAGGCCAACAGTAATGTTTTAGCTATACCTTGAAAGACGCATTAAAATACACATTGGGGGAAGGCAAAAAAGATGTACAGGCAGTAGAAAGAGAGAGATAACAAAGAGTTTACAAGGTTATCTCATTGTCCTGGGCTGTAGCATGCATATATGGACGCAGTAGTAGATAAAGATGCAACAGTAGTGTGGGGGACAACTTCAAACACCTCTACAAGAAACTGGAAACTCTGAACAGAAGGTGTGTATTAGGAATATTAATCAGACCCTGGGTGAGTACAGTGTCAGTCACAGTCCTTGCAGTCATTTGCATGGCAAGTGATCACAGTGAGGTACACTGGCCACGGAGCTGTTGCTTAAATGGGACCTTGGATCTTAGCAGCTACCATGTTTCATACATCTGAGAAGACCTTGACTATAAGACGTATCTTATTTTCCATACCATTAAGGGAGAAAAAGGTGTCAATTAATTTTAAGAGATCACTAGTTATGAAATGTATCGACTTCAGAGATCATAGTAAGGAAGAAATGCGCATCATAAAATCAGTGAAATGGGACTATTGCACTGGCACGGAGAATTTTGGTAGATTCCAGAAAGAAAGGAGAAGAAAAGGAAAAGAAAGGGGGACAAGATCCAAAACAAAGGTGGAGAAATTGAATTTGAAAAGAAGAACAAGGTGTATTCACTTCCCTCTGTTACGAAACAAGTAATAGTGGTCTGAGACGAGTAAGTTATGGACCAGAGAACTTTAGAAGTTGAGAAGCTAAAAAATTAAACTGATATAAAATAACCTTTGCCTTGATAAAAGAGAAGGCAAGGTCATCTGCGAAAAAGATTGACAGTGGTAGGTTTGAGGGCTTGAGATTTAAGAGTGAAATGGTTTTAGGTGAATTTAGAGTGAATGAAGTAATTGGTACATCTCAGATGGATTCTGCATGTCCAGAATCACTCGGCTATCTTGATAACATCTGGGGTGGGGTCCAAGGCTCTGACTTTCTAGTAAGTGTTGGTGATGCCTGTGCTAGTGGTTATGAGGAGAATGGCTCAGAAAGATCCTTGACATAAACCCTGGAGCCCCAAAATGACAGCAGAAAATCATATAGGAAGAAACGCTTAAATTAAACCATGGAATATGGTAGAAAGAGAGGGCTGTTGTTGACAAGACTGCAAGGATGGTTACAGGGCTTCTGTTTTAGAAACGGGAAGGTGGGAAGGAGAGAGGACTGCAGTGCCGGCGTGTCCTCTGCAGAGAGGGCTGGCACAGGAAGTGGCAGCAAGAGTCGGGTTCAAGGGCCTCTGGGATGGGGGAGGACTTGCAGTGCAGTGCTGGTGAGAGAACAGCGAAGGCGGGCTCATGGACAGGGTCTCCCGGAAAGAATGGCCAGGATTCTGGCCAGGATTAGAATCTCTAATCCTAACTTGCTAGGCTGAAGGCATGTAGTTTTTAATTTTGTTTGGTTTTAGGAAACAGGATCTTGCTGTATAGTCCAGACTGGCCTCTAACTCACGGGCATCCTGCTGCCTCAGCTTCCGGAGTGCTGGGACTGCATGCAGGTGTGCGCCACCACTCATGACTTTTTTTTTAACCTCATAAATAACAGAAAAAGTAGCACTAGTAATAAATATTCTTACTAATCCTTATAATTCTGCGTCTGATAATTCTAAGGAAAGGTTCAGCAACCCTAATTTTTAAAAGTACTATTGAACAAAAGTAATACCTAATTTTTTAATGTATGAAATATAAAATGTTTGAATATCCTCCCAGTAAGTCCCTTCCCCCATGACAAGCAATCAGTATTTTCTGCCTGATGTGTATGTACTCTTCTAACTGTTAAGCATACAAACTGGTATTCACACAGACAGGAATTTTTAATTTCTATAGTGGTATTTTTATGTGCGTGTTCCACATATTGTTTTCTCACTTTAGAATATGTCATAAACATTTCTCCGAGTCAATGGACAGAGCTCTAACTTGCTTTTTTCCTGCAGTCATTTTTAAATAGTTGTGTATAAAATAGATGTCCCATAATTTGTTCTGCCATTCTCCTGTTATTGGACAGTTGGGAAATTTCCAATTTTTGTTACTATAAACAATGTGACCAAAAAAGTCCTATTGTTACTGGTGCCTCAGTAACATGACTCTCTGACTTTAACCACTCATATGTATCAAAAATAATTTTTATGTCATCTTTTAATGAAGTGTAACTGTGTATAATAACCACTAATCACATGTAGCTATTTAAATTTAAATTAGTGAAAATTTAAATCTGCTTCTTAGTTCAAGTGCTTGGTGCCCTATGTGAATAGTTGCTACCATATTGAACAGCACAGAAGAGACCGTTTTTATCTTGCAGAAAATTGTATTGGACAACCTGGACTACACATTCAAATGTTACATCTTAAGAACTTGCTAGTCATTGAGTTGGTGTTTTAATGGCACAGGTTAAAAAAAGTGAAAGGTATGTCTGTATTGGTTGCCTCTACAGTTACTTCAATGAGAATCAATACCCAGATGAAGCAAAGCGAGAAGAAATTGCAAATGCTTGCAATGCAGTTATACAGAAGCCAGGTAAGGAGGCACACGCAGCTTTGCACTGCTGCTCAGTTACATTTCTGCGTTTAGGACAGAATCTCCCACTCGTGTCTTGTGGGCTGTCCTGACCATACAGTGCTTCTGAGAGACACTGCTGCACACTCACAGCCAGAGTGTTTCCTGAGAGTGGCTCTGCATAACATTTCAGACCTTAAAATTGCTTTTTTTCATGTAGAAATTGTTTCTAAAACTTTAGTATAAATATGAATTCCAGAATAATTTCACGGTTTGAGATATTTAAGGAAATTTTATTAATAAAAAAGATTAAAATAGATTTTTTTTTTTACAATTGCTATAAATTGTGTGATTCTATATTCCTTTTTGGGGAAGGAATTCTTTTTGGACTTGGCTTGTATATTCTCTTGACACTGGGATAACTTCTGCTTAGGTAGGAAAAACTTAGGTACGCTAACACATACAGATGTCCTGTGCAAGTCAACAGAACTACTTACGCATTTCGTGTGTACCTTATTTCATGTACTTGAATACTCTTTCACATTTTACAGGTTTTGTTACTAGAAAACCATTCTCAGTTAAGATAATCTAATTGGTTTCTCTTTGGCCAGTTATTTTGCATAATTGGAAGACTGTCTTCAAAAGTATCAGTGCTTTATAACAGTGAAGCAGAAATTTATTTTCCCTTGTCCAGAAGCCAGACTTTCTGGCCGTATGCACTGTACAAACCCAGCCACACCCACACATGTGTGAGAAGAATCTCTACCGTGTGTTATACAAGCCAAAAGCCATGCAGGAACTTGAAGTCTCCCTGGAAATCTCTTTACGCTTATATCATTGAGACCCTAACAGATCTGTTTTCTGGTTTCTCTATCCCCTGTGGATTAAAAGCTGAGAAACAAAAAAAGACAGAAAAGGAGGGAATGCTACAGGTAGGTCCTTACTGGCAAGCATGTTACTCCATAAGAAATCACCTGTGACATCAAAGAAGACAGAAATCTAATGGGGTTCGAGTGGTACTTTGTATTCCAGCATAGTCAGAGAAAGGATGGTCACAGGGCCTTTGGTCTTCCAGGAAACTAGTTAGTACAAGGCCTTAAAAAGAACAGTGTGTCCCTGTAGAATGGTGCTAATGAATGAAGCCTCCCTGATACTATCACGCTACTTTGATCTGGCACCTTAGTAAACTGTGTGGAATTCTTCAATGTTGTGTGTGGCTTTCTGAATTGAAGTGTGTTATTAGTTGCTATTTGGGTATTCACTTGTGGGTGTGTACAAAGTAGAAGATAATGCATAAAAAATTCCCCATGTATCTGTTGTTTCATTAATAAATGGAATCAGAAGCAACTTTAAAATGTTATTACTTAAAACTAGTTCATTCTTGAGTCCCAGATATAGATCACCTGATTTTTATTGCGTGCATTCACAGGCAAAAAACTATCCGATCTGGAACGAGTTACCTCCCTGAAAGTATATAATTGGTTTGCTAATAGACGGAAGGAGATCAAGAGGAGAGCCAATATCGGTAATGTATCAGAGTGGCTACTTTCTCTTGCGAGAACATTTCAGACATCGTTTATTTTAGGAGTGACTTCAGTTTAAGAACTGTAGGTTTAAATTATCCTAACTTGTAAGCCTAAAAAGAATCATGGTTTTGTTCTTCATTTTTTAATAACCCAAAGTTAGTATTATTTATTTATATTGTAATGATAATGACATTGTTACTTATAAAACTCATTGTTCTTAACATCCTAAAATATAGAATTAAATAGACCCTGAGCAATTGGTTACCCTGTGGCGCACATTTAAGATTCCTGTAAGGTTTAGAGAGGAACTGTGACATGGTCTAAGCTTGTTTATTACTGGACTCTGGCTTAGGTAGCAGGTAACACTTGATTAACAGAATTGGAATGGACTAGGAGCACAGCAGAGGGCAATGATAAAGAGCATTTAAAAGACTAAGAGTGTAGCTCAGTAATGGAGTGCTTGCCTTGCATGTGCAAGGCCCTGCGTTTGATCCCCAGCACTGCAAAAAAGGATATTAAGACATTTGAATTCTGGTTTTAACCATTTCACAATGTATAGATACCTCAAAATGTCTTATTGTATACCATAAATATATACCTGTCCTTTAAAAACTGAGGATTGAACCTAGGGCCTTCTCGTTGAGCTATATCTCCTGTCCTTTTTGTTTGTTTGTTTGTTTGAGACAGAGTTTTGCTAAGTTGCCCCAGCTGAGCTGAAAGTGGTGATCCTCCTCCTTCAGCCTCCTTAGAGTGCCAGGATTAGAGGTGTATGCCACCATATTTAGCTAAATATATACAATTTTATTTGTAATGTATACCTTAATAAAGCTGGAAAAATGGAGAAAATACTGGCACCAAGGAGAACTATGAATATAACTAAACTGCAAGAAATAAAGCCTTTCTTCCCATTTAGGACACACACACACAAAAAAATCTGAATTGTTGACATAGGGGTAGGGGGTTAGTTTTAAGCTTCTGAAGTTACATTTCATTAAATAAGTATATTTCCATTTCATCACTACAATTCTCAAATGCTTTATAGAACACCTAGACAGGCGAGCCATTCAGGTAGTTAGCAAACTGTATGAGATAGCGCACAGTAAGGCAGACAGTGTAACATGCAGGGCAGAGAGATTCCAAGTGGGGTGGGGGGGGGTGTTTCCCCGGGCTGTGTGCATTTGAATTTCATCCATCTGCAGTCTGAGAGAACCAAGATGTCACAGTGTCAAGGGATATAGGTTTTTATTTCATTACATTCCTATTCCCTCAACACAGAAATTGTGCTGTGGCCATTATGATAAGGTATATTTGCTTTTGCTTTTGCTTTTGTCGAAGAAGCAGCAATCCTGGAGAGTCATGGGATAGACGTACAGAGTCCGGGCGGCCATTCCAACAGCGATGATGTCGATGGGAATGACTACTCTGAGCAGGTGAGCCACTGGGCTTCGGGCTGAGGTTCCTGGGACTGAGCAGTGGGACAGGGTGACAGCGTGTGAAGGCCGTGGGTGCGGGGTACCAGGCGGGGGAGGGGCGGGGAAGCAGTCGGTGTCCCTCCACTCTGCTCATGTGTCTAGTTAGATTGTCATGTAATTTGAAGGGAATGTGGTAAGATTCAGTTGTCCTGTTGACTTTGAGAAATTGCTATTCACCCACATGGATTTATTGTCATACAACAGGATACTTGGCAAGTACGCAATGGGGAGGAGGAGGAGGGAAGAAGTTCAGAGGGAGGCAGAGAAGCAGAGAAGGTAGAAGAAGAGAGGAGGATCTGATCCAAACAAGCAAGTTACACCATTCACCACACACACTCAGTGTTTGAGAAGCACTAGGGGCAGCTGGGCAGCTGTGACCCCTGCCTAAACATGTACTGGAGCAGGGCACAATGGAAGGCCCACCCACTCCGGCCCCATTGCAGTGAGAACCCTGTGCCCAGAGGAGTGGTTCCTCCCGTCTCTGGCACGTTGACACTCGCATCCTCATACAGCACCCGCATGCCTGCTCATCTCGCCTGTCCTATTCAGCATTGCTTGGGGAAAAATGTATTTAACTGTAGCCACTGCATGGAGTAATTCAGTAACTATGGCTGTGGGAGCTTTAGCCCCACAGATGTGTTGACAGATTTCATTGCAATTTTTATAGAGTTTAAGTTTCATTTCCATTTGTAAAGCCTGGGCAACATATGGTCTCTTCCTCAGACTCCAGCCAGAAAGCCTTTGCTCTTTCCTGTGGTCGTTTTCCCGACCCCTCAGCCAGCTAGTTTATAAATGTAGCCCACTGTGTTCTTCTGCCTCCCAGCTGCTTGACAGCATGTTTATCCGCTTGTACCCAGACAGTCTGTGAGTGGAATTCCATGCAAATCCCCTTTTAAATCCTGAAGACTATTCTGTGAACACTGTAATAAAACAAATGCCTCAAGGGTTACTTTTTTCCCCTCTTAGGTCTCCAAGTCGTAGCCCTACCTTGTACTCAGAGAATGTTTTGTCTTTCTAGTTTGTAACATTCCTGTTAGCTTTCAGTCACCCAGTATAGCTGGATCTTTTCCATCCTTTTGTGCGGATACCCTGAGGGCAGCACATCCCATGCTTCCCCCACTAGGGACTTGCCCTTTCCCAAACTCTTTGCTACACAGTTTCCCTGAAGGTATGACAGGTGAGAAACACACCCCTTATGTGACACCAGCTTTCTTCACACCTTTATTGTGTAGTGCACTCACCTTGAGGGAGAAGAGGTGTGACTAAGTCAGGGCCTGCAGGCCTCCACCAGGCCACACCTTCTCCACAGTCATCTTCGGCAGCAACACCTGTCTCCCAGAACTGAGAATTCCTGGTGTTGGTTGGTTTGTTTGTTTTCCCTTCTCTAAGATGTTGGTGCCTGTAGCTTTCACAGTACAGTAGAGAAATACCATAGATTCTAATAACCTATTTGTAAGTGTAAGTCCAGAATTTAATAGCTTACTAGGATGGCCTACAATGATTCATGCTGTATTTGTTGCAACAGAAGATCCAAATTATTGGCTTTATATGAGTCAGTCCAGGTTTGATCACCACAAGCAATCTTTTTGACAGAATGAGTAAAATTCTTAGAAAAAGCATTTTTAAGTTCTTTTAACCTGTTTAATCATAAAAATGTCAACAGGAGTCTCTGAACCGATATCCATTCAGTGTCTACTTAAATACAGTTCACCTCCACTCTGCCATGAGGTGCTCATCCTTTCCTCCACGCGTGTTCTGCCTCCCCGTGCCTTGCATGCCTCTGTGAGCTGGAGGACTGTACCGTCCACTAATAACATTAGTTTCTTCTTTCTGCACATCTAGGATGATAGTACGAGCCATAGTGACCACCAAGACCCCATCTCGTTAGCTGTGGAAATGGCAGCAGTCAACCATACTATCTTGGCATTGGCCCGACAAGGAACCAACGAAATCAAGACAGAGGCCCTGGATGATGACTGATCAGGGAGGGTTAGACACAAGTTAACTTAGTTTAGACGTAGCACCTTAGCAGACTTTCCTTGGTCCTTAACATGTGTTCTTACAGTATAACTTGCAGTTTCTTGTATGTCAGGTAGCCGTTAGGGTCTTGTTCTGTGAAGATGGCATGGTGCCCTCAGCCTTTGCATATACTCTCTCAGTATTAATTCCCAGTAAATAATAACCAACCAACCAACCAGACTTCCCTCTCCCAGCCCCCGAGGCTAGAAAATCTTGCTGCTCCGTCTTAGCATTCCAAGAAAGTGCTTCCAGGTATTTAGGTAGCCCTCAGTTCTCAAGTATTAGGCTATGTGTAAAACCTTGGGTACCTTTAGATACGTGTAACACTAGTCTGTACCCCTTTTCCTTCCCCAGACTGATAGGATGCAAGCTGAGGCAGTGGCACAGGATTGACAGACACCACTTGGGGAGTATCCAGAGCAAAAGGAACACTAGAACCCCACCTCAGCGTGAGACTCACTGATTTCAGCTGCAATAAGCCGTGCCTCATATAGTCACACTGTGGCTAGATTACACTTCTTTGGGTGCTGTGCTAAGAATGTCCATGGAAACTCGAGCTCAGATTTGGTTGGTGTTAACATGCCTGACACAGACATGCTTTCCTCTCACAAGCTGTGTGACCTAGTAGATAAAATACTGCCTTCTGCCTTTGGGACCATGATTCAAAACAAAACAAAAAAGACAAAAAAAAAAAAAAAAGTTACGAAAAAACAAAACCCAGCTTGAGAGCATTGGAAAAAAGTATGAGCTGAATGTCTAACGGATGCTAAGTCCAGTCCTCAGAACCACTGTACATTCCGTGGCACAGTTATCAGTGCCTGCCTGGAAAAGCCTTGGAGGTTGTCCTGGTGTCCCCTTTCCCTGCTACCAAAAAGTCTTTCAAGGATGGAGCTAAGGTCAGAAATGAGTAAAAGGACACAGTCTCTGTATCCATTAACAGAAGCCCCCTCAGTCTGAGTCGATAGAGGACTTAGGGGATTTTGCTGACTTGACTATCACAGATGCAAACACTTGCCTAAACGGGAGCAGAAAAAAGCAGGGGACATTCACCACTTCCATGGTGGGTGTGCGAGATACAGCGGGATGTGACTGCTTTGTTGTTCTCTTTACTCTGTCCTTGTAGAGGTGTGAGAAGCTATATTGCTACAGGCAATTTATTTAATAATTGGAAGCCATATTGATAATGGATGTGGTAATATTTGTAAAGTCTAATCTACTTTATGCGGCAGTAACTAATGGAATTTTTTTCCTTGATCACATATGTAGCACTTTTGTTACTTTTTAAAGATATTTATATTTGATAAATCTTTTTTTCATTTTGAGAACTCAAAATACCAAACAGTGAACTTGCGTTATAAAGTCACCCTGTGATCACCTTGTCATCTAGTAGCAAAATGATGAACTATTCATGCATCAAAGAAAATTATATCTGCTGGCCTTGTATGAAAATGATCTCCTGGTATCCGATTAAATGACACACTGTAACTGTGGGTCAGAAAAAAACAGCCTTCAGCGTAGCGGTAGGGGTGGCAGAAGAGGCACAACAGCCGGGCACTTCCTGCCGGGTTCCATCGCTCCTCTGTGTGTCTGAGGAAGCCTCGTTTAGGGGAAGGCTGGGCAGACTGTTACGCGAGACTTCTGTCTTTCTGTCCATTACCTGAAACAGTCTGAGGTAGAAGGAAGATGCCATTTCCTCACACCCCCGCACCCTCACCAAATGTGCTCAACCTAATTTGAGAAAGGCTCACTGGCCTTCCGTGTTGCTCCCTTTCTCGTTGGGATGTTGAATAGCGGCCAGTTTTTAGTTGGTCTCTGCACTTAAGGCAGCACTGATGTGATCATTCCCTTGGCTGTACATTGTGCTTGTGGATGTCTTTGTGAGGGCATGAGTATGCTACCTTCCTATGTCTGTACTTAAGAGTTAAGGCGGGGCCTGGTCCTGCCCCGTCCGTGGATTTCAGGGGGGAAATGTACATATTTTCCCCAACTTCCAAGAGTTGAAGTGAAACAGAGCCGTCTTTTCTGTGTTACTGTATTACTTGAACCAACAAATTCAAGAGTAGCATTTGTTATTCTCAGGAATGAGCCCCCTCCCACACACTCCTCCTACTCATTCTCTGTTTATTGTACTTTTTATTTCAATTGTGAGAGTTTCTTTCCTCTTATTTTACTTAGAAGAAATATATCTTTCCATTTTGGTAGCATTTTGTCTGCTTATTCTCAGATGAATCAGAAAGAACACGGAGAGGGAAAAAACATTCTCTGACAAACCACATGCATGATTTATTGTCAGGAGATTATTATAATTGATAGCTTCTTTAGGATGGGATTCCTAGTGTCATTTGTTTGGTAGTCTTTTTAAAGGAGCAGACCCAAACTGCTAAGACAGCTGCAGTTTGTAAAGAAATCCAGTGATTGCCACAGAAAAGCTAAAATGTTTTGCTGTTTTAAGACCTTTGAGGATGAAAAAGCACCAGAGAGTAAGGAGGAGTTGGCGTCTGTGCAGGCAGCGCCGGCCGGGCTGGCAGTGTAACCCCTCGGGGCACTGCTGCCCAGGCACAACATGCGGTGCTGAGCCGGTGGGGATGGAGGGAGGACATCTGCCCACAGCTCTGGGGACTAGCAGAGACCGCCAGCTGCTCTTTGCTTTTTCACCAGGTGTGAGAATGAACATCTTCGGGGTCAAGATTTAACACTTCTTTTGGTTTTCTATTTGTCATCACCAGGTTTGGCTCCCCTCTGTCTTGCCCGGACCACCTTAGTTTTTATAATGGTGAATACAGCCTGCCACTGTTTGGTTTCTAGTATTTCAGATGGGAAGATTTTCCTTGAGCCTTTTCAGGTTTTAGGTGTGGTATTAAAATAGAAATCCTCGAAATGCTCCATCACTGAAGAGAAAAGCCAGACTCTTAAAAATCACATCCCGTGCTTCTTGGTGGCTCTGAACCTGCTCTCGCCTCTTTCTGTGCTTCAGGTCCCAGAGGACTCTTGGAGTTTTGTTCCTTTCTAGTCAAGGAAGGTTCTTTAAAGTGTGGGGTCTATTCGTGTAATTCATCTGTTATTGTTATTTAAAGATACTGTAATTGAATTACTGTGATCAGATGTGCAAGCCTCCCACCCACCCCCCTCACAAAGGTACCCATCCAAGGCAGTTTCCACCCGTGGGCGGGAGCAGGCGGGCAGTGCAGCAGGGTGGCTGACACCATCGAGTGCCGCTCAGTACTGTGCAGACATTTTGCTTCGTTTCAGCAGACCTGGCAGTGCTGGAGTATCCCATCAGACACATTTCCTCTCAATCTCAGTTCTCTGAGTGGCCCTTCACAGGAAGAGGGAATCTGAGAGCCTGAGAGCCCCTTCTAAGGTACCTTTCACCCCAGCTGCACAGAGGTGAGGAAGAAGCTCGTTCACACTGAAGCATGCAAACCCGGTACTCCAGCTTGTGGAAGACTTCTGATTCAGTGGGACCTGTGTAGTCCCAATGTCTGGATAGATTCTTACCTCAAAGGGGATAAATTATGAAGAATTTATTGACACAGTTGTTTCAGCTCTCCTGCTTTGGCCTTCATCTTCAGGAACTCCTGTGAGAAACTTGCCTCCTGGATACGCAGCGTTAGGCATCAAATATAATAGACGCAATCAGCAGTCTCCTGTCACTTCCTCTTCATCTCTGAACAGTTTCTCTTTGTTCTCTCTGTGCTGCACCACCATGTCCTGGTCTTGAGTTGGCCTTGCTGGAGTGTCTTCTGGCAGCAGCAGGGGTACTGCTCAGTAGCGCCCTCTTCAGCAGTCTGAGGACACAGCATATGGAGCCCAGCTCCATATGCAGCTGAGCCTCCACCTCATCTCTGCCCACAGCTGTGGGAATCAACCCTTCTGCACAACTGATCGCCACCCTGCCCTAGGAATGTGAGCTTCAAGTCCTCACCCTCTTTCTGGTCTTTAGAAGGATTTAGGTAGAAGAGTCTTCCCATTTAACTTGCTCTGCCTTTTAAAAATGCTTTTATCTTTTGTTCAGAGAACAACCAGAGTATTTTTTCCCTGTGAGTCTCAACAGATTCGTAGGCAATAACTTTTCTTGTGGTTGATGATCTTGTGCTCAGCGGCACTCTGTCTACATTGAATAGTCCTGACTTCCTCTGCTGTGCGTTGGTTTCTGTGTTAATCTGGTGATTTAAATCTTGGGCCAGAGTGCTGATGGATTGTGTCATTTTGTTGTGATTATCAGTAATGTTTTACTACTGTGTTCCTTGCGGCTGGGTCAAGACCAGCCAAATCCATGTATAGCTTTACTGAGCCGGATTTATTTGTCAAGATTTCCCAGGTGAGAGTTGGGCTCACTGAGCAGCTCTGCTGGTGGGTGGAGGGGTGGCGGGGGGTGCACTGGGCAGGGCCATGTTACAGCATTCCTTTGTGTGTGTGCTCCTTAAATAGCGAGATGCTGACTCAGGACTTGGGGATCACCTTCGGCTGTGTTGAGCTCGGCGAGCTGAGCTGTGTGCCCTGAAACCCTCCCACTGTCTCTTGGTTTCCGAAGTGTCCGGCCTGCTTCACCCAGAACCGCTGAGTGGTCTGTGGGAAGCGCCCTCCTGAGAGCAGGAGGCCTTCCCGGAGACAGCGTGGAGCGTGGCCCCTTCGCATGCTGTCGTGCAGGTGCCTTCCTTACACACTCTTGGCCCCAGAGATGCCTCCCTGCATCTTTGAAGCCTACTACAGACTCCTTACCGTTCCGAGAACCCAGACACACAGGGGAAAGGCTCTTGAGATCGGTGCGCCGAAACGGTTGCCGACGACAGAAATTCCTCCCCCTGTGCAGCGGGTGCTGTCCACAGGCCGCTCCGGTGCCCTTCCTTTACGATCTGTAAGCAAGAAGCGCCTGCTCTTGGTCCCACAGACCACACTGCTGTTAGGTCTGACTCTTAAGTGCAGCTTTGGTCTTCACACCCTCCAGCGCCGGAAGTTTGTGAATGGAGACGTTTCTGTATCGCCTTCATTAGTCTTGGTGGGGATGAGAAATAGCGAAAAGAAAGCTAAGCCCAAGAAACCCAGTCTCCTGTTGCACTGCGTCTCTTTTGTAGTCGGGAAAGGAAGGGATATAGGAGAGAAGGGTGAGGGAAGATGGGCGGCTCCCGGTTCCCGTCTTGCCAGCAGATGCCTTGGGGCCGCAGGTGTGCGTCGCCCCTTTTCATTGCTGACATTTTGGTACAGCTAACTCCAGTGGAGGCCGTTGAAGTGAAACCTGCCTGGCGCTTTCCGGCACTGGACAGTGTACCGGGGACACTTCAGGACCTGTCCTCTGCTGCCGTCCCCTCTGTGTGCCGGGTTTGCCCTGTCTGTCCGTCCTTGTGTCCGTCCTGACTGTGGTCCCTTGCTCAGTGTGTGCCCCTCCTCGCGGTGTGGGGCAGCGGGCAGCAGGTGGCGCGTGTGCGTGCACGTGCCGCCCTGCGCCTGAGAAATCAGGGAGGCCGGCTCCCCCGACTCCATTTTCGTTTTCTCTCCTTTAAATAAGACTGGCTGTGTACAGCCATAATTAACTCACAAATTCACATTGGTGTGCTGCGATCAAAGGGAGGTTTGGCTGAATCTTTTCAAATTGTAACCATGGTAATTGAGGGGGGTGGCACAGAATGAATATATAAAAATATAATGGCAATTGTTCTGAATGACTGAGTGTCCTCCTGACATGTAATTAGCTGTTTTAGCAGGATGTAGATTGGCATGGTCATAATTAAGAGGATTTCTGTCCTTTATGTGATTGAAAATAGCAGAGCTCCCATCCCTTGTTCCCTTTTAGCACTAATGCTCCCAAGAACATTTGGAACGGCAACTCGGTAAACTAAAATAATGACATAGTATTCATGTTCTCTCAAAGTGAAGAGAAGGATTTGGAGTTATTTCAGCCCCAAAATGGAAGCCGTGATTATTGCTCTCCGTGTGACTTCTGAGTTCTCTGAAGCCGCTCTCATCCACTTGGCTGTTCCACCTTGGGCAGAGTCCCAGGCCAAGGCAGCCTGCGCCAAGGCCCGGCCCCTGCCCTCCGCGCGGGCCTGCGGGGCCGCGTCTGCTCCCCCACGCACCTCGGGCTTTCAGAGTTCTCCCGGGCCCCTCAGCGTCTCCCCTGCCGTCCCCTTCACCAAGTGGCAGTTCGCGGGAGCTGCGCCGCGTCTTCCTCACTGGATCTAAGCTCCAGAGCAGACGGCCTGACAAGGACACAGGCTGTGACCTCCCCCGGGCCTGGCGGGGGCGCAGAGCTGCTCTGTGCTGCGGTCAAGGCCCGTGAGAGTGTGCCCGGCCTTCCTCACACCACTCTTGCCGGCCAGGTGCCACCCTCCCTGCGTCAGCTCCCTCTGCAGTTGTGCTCGCAGCGTGCTGTGTCCGGGTGCTCACGAGTCCTCTTCTCGTTCCCTGTCCTCCCTACATGTCCTCAAACCTGCACAGTCCCCCGGTCATGGCCCCCCTTGTCATCCTGAGGTGCCCTTGGGCAGCACCCCTTCTTCGCTCGCCAGCCTTTCTCTAGCATACGGTGGTGCCGTTTTCTTCCCCCATCACTCGCAGGAGCCTTCATCCAGGTGCGCGTGGCGGCACCAACAGCACCAAGGCGCCTTCACCACTTCCTGCCACCTGCTTCCTGCCCTTCCCCGGCTGCTCATTCAGGCCTGGCCAGCAGCCACTGAGGAAAGTACAGCTCTGGCTTTTGTTCTTACTTTGCTGCTTGCCCTGGTACAGGTCTTGCCCTTCCACATCCACAGGAACCCTGGGCTGCCGGAAGCGCGGGTTACAGTTCTATCTGCTGAGAGGCTGCTTGTTTAGAAGTGTCCTCCTCCTCTTCCTCCTCCTCCTCCTCCTTTTCCTCCACTCGGCGCTCAGGAGACTGTTTCGGGCCTTGGCTTCCTTTTGCTGTGTTCCTCCCCACAGGCCTGTAGTGGAATAGTAGGCTCGCTGGTTTAGAGACAGATCCTGTGTCCACGCAGGGCTCCTCTCCTAAAGGCCACTTACCAGGTAGAGACCAAGAACTGAGCACATGCGCTAACTTGGTGACCGTGGGGCGTTCTCTAAAGAAGCCAGCAGACGTTCCCTGGTCTGCTCACATCCAGAGGATGCAGGATCCGTGCTGCAGTCGGAACCCCTAACGAGAGTGCCATCTCGGGATGTGCTGCCACTGAGAGGAGGTGGAGACACTGCCCTCCCCGTGTCCCCAGGGGCACTGTGACCCAAACTTCCTGCGCCCAGTTTTCTTTACCAGCAGCGGCCCTGTCCCACCATGGAAAAACCACCTGACCAGAATCAATGACAACATACGTTGTGCTCACCATGAAATACTTAGTTTTGGGGAGAAAACACCAGAAGCCAATTGTACTTGTAAGACTGTCTGAAGACGCTGCCATTCTAAATCAGTTTTGGGAGACAGGCGAGCAGCCGTCCCCGGCAGTGCCACTGTAGCCACAGCAGGCCGTGGCCACCAGTGCCTGTTCACCCTCCGAGGGGAGCTGGAAGAGGACAGACCCCACCACCTTGCATCCTCCACGGACCACCTTGAGTCTTCCTACTTGGCCAGCGAGGTGTGAAATGTGGGGACATAAGCCCCTGGCTGTGTTGGAGCATGAGGGAACCGCAGGTGGTGGTCACCCGTGTGGGGCCAAAGGGACGACTGTCCCCTGCACTCCACGCTCGTAGCCCAGTAGTACAGTGAGAAGCAGGGCGCAGTTGCTGTCGCCTTAGGCACCCTGCTTGTGTTCGGAGTGTGCTGCTGTGCCTTCCACTCCTCTTGCTGTTCCCTCCACAGTAGTGACGATGGCCGGGTGGGATACTGTGGGAACAGGTCGACGCCCCGGTGCTGTCAGTGTCTGCCCTGTCATAGCTGGGTCTGCTCATCGCAAGCCTCACCTGGTCCACGGGAGCAGCTGCGTGGCCGCGAGTCCAGGTTTCAGTCCAGCCTAGGGCCTTCTCGTATCCAAAGTCCAGGATGGAACAGGCTGCCCAGCCCTGGGCCATTTGGAGGCTCAGTGACTTACTGGTCAGGGACACTGGACAAGGGACTTAGGCTCTGAGCTTCCCTGAAGATTCTCTGAAAATTCTATCCCTCCCTCCTACCTCTTCCTCTTACTGTAAAAATAAGAGTTGCTTCTGTTCTGTCTCCCTCCCCTATCTTGATAGGCATCCTTAAAGTACAAGAGAAACAGCCACAGCTTTGGAGCTGTCCCCATGAGGGAACCCCCTGGGTGGTAAGTTGGGGTCGAAGACTCATTGGGACATAGCTGGCTAGTGAGGTTTTTGTGACCAAGCCCTCACTCGGGGGCCCCTGACACCCTCGTCCGGAGGGGAGCACGTACCGTGCCTTTCCTGCCGGCGCTGACCAGGACTCTGCTCTCTACACCCTTGGCTGCCAGGAGACCCAGAGTGGGGCGCAGCCTGCGGGCCCACGGCAGAGACAGTTTTCGGGACTTGAGTTCAGCATGCGGCCTCCCTTATGTCGGCGTCTTCCCAGTGCTTCCGGGCTGAGTCTGAACTTCAGTCCTGCTGTTTGGTGTTTGGCTTCTTTTGAGCACAGAAAGCGTCCCCATTTTTGCTTTACTGGAAGTAAGAGCCCAGCATAAACGTGAGGGTCACTTTGCACTGCGCCATTCACTGCAGCTATTAAGCTGGAAAACAAAACAAGCGTTAATGTTCTTAATGTAAACAGCTTCCCCAGCTCCCGCGGGTGTTGCAGCCGCCAGGGCATCGGGCAGCCCACAGCAGAGTGGGTGGAGAGGAGAGCTCGATGCGGGCTTCCAGGAAGCGTCCTCCTTCCGGTTGGCCTTGGCGCCCATGCCCTTGTGTGGGAATCGGTGACCCCTGCCTCTCGCATCTCTAAACATGGGCACCAGGGAAACAAAACCACAGCGGGTGGGGCGGGTGCACGCCTTCCACGCGCCTGAGTGCTGGCGAGGCTTCTTCACATCTGGTTTTGCCAAACCCCGCTCTGAAGGCCCTGCTTTCCCCAGTCATTTCCTCGAGTTGAGCATGCGACAGCACGTGGGCGTCACCTGCGCCTCCTGCAGCCCTGTGCATACCTTCAGGGTCCCAGCCTGCCGCCTCAGTGGCCCCTTATCCATCTTGGCCACCACTGGCATCTGACGCCCACCCTGGCCAGCAGTGGGACACCCCCTGATGGAAGATGCTGAGACCGAGGCAGTCACTTCCCCTGGTGGAGCCTGCAGCCTGCTCCGATCGCCTGCGCCCGCCTGTCCTCCCCCGCTGTGGTCACGCAGAGAGCAGCACCTTCCCAGGATGACTCTTGTTTATGTTTAAGTGCCTAAGCAAGTTGCAGACCTCTGGATCCTGCCAGTTAGCCTGCCCCGCCGTGCCCTCCCCCCTCCCCCTGCCTGGCCCTGGGGTAGGCTTGGGCTCCCCCCAGTATCCCTGCCGTTCTGCAGGCGGAGCGGCCCCAGCCCAGGAGTTGGGGGAGCTCTTCAGCGTGTCAGGTGGCTCCGTCACTGCTCCCAGCTCTTCTGTTGTTGGTCTTGGTTCATAGCTTTGAGGAGCCCGCTTAGCAGGGGCTCGGTGGCTGCCATGAAGGCAGGAGACAGGACCACTCAAACCAAAAGCCTGTCTCCTAGCGGTGGCGACGCGCCCAGACACGGCAGAGCATGACTTGCCCAGCTGTGCCCCGGGGGACAGGGTGCCTGCTCGCAGCCGCCATCAGGAGGTGTTCGCCAGATCCTCGTGCATCGCCGCAGATGAGTGAGGGGGTTTGCTTTTTAAGGTCATGTAGGTCTGACCTAGGTTTGGGGCCTTCGTTACACGGTGAGCACAGGACAGATGACGCTGCACTTGTTCAGATCCCACCGCCAGCAGCACGCAGATGATTTGTGGGTGTGTTAAAAGGTTTTGCAAATGGAACAATCCATACCCAGGCACTTTATTTTCGTTAATAACCCAGCATTTTTGTTCAGACAATGAGTAACCCAACGTTGGCCTGTGACACGCGTGGGCGAGTGCATTCTGCCTCGGAGAGAGCAGGGCAGCGGGGGAGAAGGTGGCAACACGGAGAGGAGAGCGCCCCTGTGGCCAGGGCCCGCCTGTCCCCGTGCGACTGAGCAGGGAAGAATGTAGCTGAGGCCCTGGGCTAGGGAGGACGCAGAGGCGGCGGAGGGCCTGGCCGCTTGTCCCTTCCCTGGACTCACTGCAGCCAGGGCAGGGCGCTGAGCAACGGTTCCGTCTCGTGCCGTGTGCGCTTGTCCCGTGTGTGCAGGGCTGGGCGTGGGCTGGCGCAGAGGACACGCCAAGCCGTGGGCGCCGGCCTGCGTCGGCTTCTCAAGGCTGCGTGCGCTCAGCATCCGCGAACAGCCCAGTGTCCGAGAGCGGCCGCGCACGCCCGCCGTGGCTGCTGTGTCTGTCTCGGTGTTTCCCGCCGGCGTCTCCTCTGGTCTCCGGCCCCATCGCGCACCACGTGTCCCTGAGGGCGTCACACCTGTGTCTGAGTCTGCTGTAAGGTGTTCAGTCTACCTCAAGGGTCACCACGGTAAGCTCTGTCACGGAACCCTCCCTCCGCGCCACACACTGGAATGTAGCCCGCCCGCCACCCGTCTCCTGTAATCACCACAAATCCTAGTGCAAATTGGATGCTGCTTTAAATGTGAAAACAATTGTTCAAAAGCTATAAAACCTGAATGAAAGCTAAAGCTGAATTTATAAGCCTTGTTGCATATGAGCCAAAAGTGCAAAAAGCTCTATATAATGAACTAACCTGCCACTCGTATAAATATAAATATATATAAATATATTAAAATCAGACTGTTCTACAAAATTGTGTATTTGTATTTTTGTGTACGTACAATTTTCTGCTAAGCAGAAGGAGGATGTAGTATAGGATGCTGTGAGAAGAGATTTGGTTTACTCCTATTTCTTTGTTACTTATTTTTGTTAACATCAGATGCCTGTCTTCGTCTTCTGTGTATGACACTGTTTGGAAAGCTGCAGTATCTCTCTTCCTTAGGGCCGGAGTCCAGAGAGAACCACGTCTGGGCCTTAGAGATCTGTCTCGGCCGCTCGGCACAGAGGGAGCGGGGCGCAGCGCCTCACCGCGGAGCCACACCCGCGCGGTCCCGAGGTGGCACAGAGGGAGGGACGTGACTCTCGAGGGCCGGGCGGGCTCGGGGCCTGCTGCCTGTAGACATCAACTTGCCCTTACACGAGCCCTGGCTCCCTCCAGGAAGGCTCTGCTCGGCGTCCGTGAGGAGGGCCACGGGCTGGCCCCAAACAGGACAGGGCCGCTCACCTCCCTTGGCAGCAGCAGGTGGCTCCAGCTGGCACAGCGCCCCGCTCCAGGTCCTCGCTGCCTTTCTCCGATCAGGTGGCCCCACGCCGCCTGCTGCTCCGCAGCCAGACCCCAGCCTGGTCCCAGAGCATTACCAAACCCACTCTGCCGGTGCTAAATGCGAGAGGGGGGCAGTGGCTGCGAGGCCCGCCCGGGACCCCCAGCCGGGGCCGGGCACCGTGCCCTCGCGGAAGCTGCCCTAGGGAGAGTGATACTGCAGCTTCGCCCGTAGGACTCGGACTCCACAGTGTGTGATGACTGTAGCGGGAAGCGCTTGTTTCTGGGTGGCAGCGATCAGAGAAACAAGTGCTCTATTGTATTGATTAAAATAGTTCCAATGAGTCCTGTATCATTGTATCTCCTATTCTGGATTAGTGCCTTTTGGACAGTAGACTGTTCTGTAATTAAAATGTAGTATACTGCTTTTTTGTACAGTTTTGTTTTAATAAAACTTTTTTTTAATTTGTGTTTATTTTAGTATTGTACCTACTAGAGAATAAAATGTATAACTGAACCGAGGCTGCCTGGGATTTCTTTGGGTCCAGCTGAACACTCACGCTCGACGTGCCCAGCTCCATGGGGATACAGGTCCCTTCAAGCTCTTCAGAGGCATCGGGCCCAGAGTCCTGGGGAAAGGATCAGGCCGCAGATCCTGCCTGGGAGGGAGAGGCCCAAGGAAGTCCTGCCCCCTGCCCCCTGCCTCGCCTGAGCCCACAGCGACCCTCAGGGACCCTCCCAGGGTTCCCAAGCCACCTGCCCTGCGCTCAGAAGCACTGCCCACCCCGGCCTTCCTGGATTCGCATTTCCCTTTCCCTGCCACACCCTGAGCCTTGTCTCGCGGGAGCTCTCCCGGGGCTTCCCCTAGGGCAGCAGCGGCAGGAAAACCTAAGATGTTACGCAGCCTTCCTTACAGGCTTGCAGCAACGCCCGTCAGGTCCCTCACAGCTCTGCGTTCTCCCGGCGTGCCCGGTGCCTTCCCCTCCCCGCGAACCCTCAGAAGTAAAAGGTCTTTCCTTTCCCCTCGGCACACATTTAGACCAAGAAACTTACAAGTAGAGGCAGCGAGGGCAGGACCTGCGTTGGCAGCAGAGCTCCTAATAGGGTGGTCCCCTCCCCACGCTTTGTGCTTTGGCCCCAGACTGCTTAGGAGCTCTGACCTTCAGCCCATGGCCTGTCTGTCCCCTGCGTCACCGCCCCGTGTCCCCACCTTAGGGCCAGTGCCCTGCACACCATGGACCACCCAGCGCACAAGGCGAGGCCAGGACAGGTGCAGATGTTTCCACACGGCATGTGAGCAAGTGACCTGATGTCACAGTCACCGGGGCTCGCTTTGGGGCGGAGCAACTGTAAAACCCCAGGAACTTGAAGACTTCTCCTTGGAGCTTTGTCAGGGTCAGTTCCATTCAGATTCCTGCCTCACTCCAGAGCCGCTCCTGGCTGCCATGTCCCGTCCCCGCTTGGCAGTGCCAGGCTCTGAGCAACTCTTCTGCACTCGTGAATATAAACAAGCCCTGCTCTGACGCACTCTGGCTGATGGCCATCTCCATCACGTAGGTGGCTGCGGCCGACATCCGCAAGGACCTTAGGAGACTGGGCTGAGTGACAAACCCACAGGGGGAAAGCAAGGCCACAGAGGTCCTTTGCAGTGGCCACTGCGAGGCCCACGCTGGCGCTGGACTGTGGCCCCGGGGTCCCGTGGCAGGCAAAGGAGGCCTGGTCACCTCCCCAGCCCACAGGCCGAACCCACCACTGTCCGTGCCTTCCAGTCCCCTGCTGGGCGGGCAGCTGGATGACGTCTGCAGGAGGTGGCCTCATCAGCACACAGGGCCACCAGGACTGACAGAGTCCACCGTCCCCTGGGACTTGGCCCAGGCACTGCCAGCAGGCCCACTGCCACAACCCTCGTCCCCGTTCCCGAAACACCGTCCCAGAGCACGGAGCCTCTGCCTCTACAGAAGAGGCCCTCTGTTCCCGGCCCAGTGCAGAATGCGTCTGTCACAGGCTGAGGGGATGGGCTGGGAGCTCTGCCAGAGGGGTGTGCCCAAGGGACCACCGTTCCCACACTTCCTCCTTCCGGTCTCCATCCGGAAGAGCCCACGGCCGCTGCGGAGAACGAGGCCATGATCGGGAACAGTCTGCAGGGAGCCTGAAGGGTGTCAGGGTCGAGAAGGGAGAAGCGACAGAGCTCAGACGGAGGCAAGAAATCATCTTTTATTTAGAAGCTGCTGGTCATTTGGTGGAAAGGCATATATGGTACAAAATTACAGAGGTTTAGTTCATCGTCCAATACAAACCATTGAGGTCTTTACAGTTCATTAGAGTCTTTGGATTTTTTTAACCTACTTAAGTGTACCAAACCACTCGAATCAAAGTCACCTCTTTACACGTGAACTCATTCTATGTACAAAAGCCACACCTAGGGAAGCACAGCCGAAACTCTCCAAAAAGGTTAGTGTCTGCAGCCACCAGGAAGGCGCCCCGGTTTCCTAAGCAAGCTGCCTCGGGCAGTGTCTTGCGCAGGAGCGGGCTGCGCTTGGCCCCAGGAGAGCACGACAGGTGGCCGGGGCGCCCCCCACCTGGCTGAGGCGGCCTGGGGCTGCGGGCGATGGAGCACAGGCGCGCCCGGAGCTGCTCCTCTCACCCTGGGAGGCCCTGAGCCAGGGGAGGAGACAGCAGGCAGCGACGGGACCTCCACGCCTTCCAAGCCTGCGCCGCCGCTCACGTGGGTCACAGCGCGGTCCTCCCCCGAAGACCAGCCCAGGAACCCCGCCCGCGCCTTGGCCCTCAGCCCCTCTCCGGTCTCAGCTGGGTCCCCACCCTGCCCTCTCGGCCCAGCACTGAGCGCCGTGGCCCCACACAAGTCAGTGTCCATCGGCACCACGAGGTGGGCTTCATCAGGACGCTGCTGCTGCTCACCGGGCCGTGGGCGGGCGGGGCTGAGGCCGCCCAGGCCTCTCGGTGCGGGGCGGGAGGCAGCAGTGCCCTGCCTGCCGCGGTCAGCACGGTGCAGTGCTCTCTGAAGGCAGAACCGGGGCTTGGGGGGCGCAGGTCGTGTGAGATCTGAGGAGCAGGGCCAGGCCCCGCCGGCTCCCTGCACAGGCTGAGTCGCCGGAGGCGACCTCGGCTGCCCCAGCAGGAACCCCAGCCCGGGGCGGCTCCCAAGGACACCGACGGGACAAGCTTCTGACATGCTACCAGCGTGAACCCCCACCACACTTTTTCTGAGAAAAGCCCAGCCAGGCTGCACGCTGGGGAAGCGAGGGCAGTGGAGGTCTCAGGGACACCTTTCTGCACCCCTGTGGAGTGCCGCCTGCAAGCATCACCCAGGGCGGGGACGGCACCTGCAGGCCCGGGTGCTTTGCAGGGGCCCAGGGCATCTGTGGGGCTTTAAGGCAGGGGTGTCCCAGGAGGCGGAGCTTCCTGGACACCGCAGGGCAGCAGGATGAGGGCTCGGCTGTGGCTGGGCACTGGGGGGCAGTGGAGGTGGCCAAGGGCATCAGACTGGGCCAGAACCAGGCAGCTCGAGCCCGAAGCGCCAGCGAGCTCCACTACAAGCAGCCATCCCGTCTGGCACTCCTTTAGCTCCTACTCCGCCACAAGCCCCCGGCTGACTGCAGACGACGGTCACGCTGCGCCCTGGACAGCCAGAGCCCGCGAGCCCGTCTCTCGGTACATGAGAGACACCCAGGGTCTCACACTTCCACGGCGGCACCTCCTACACAGTGCCTGGCCGGCCTCCCGCAGGGAGTTCTCGGGGTGCTGACTCCTTCCACGACCACCGGGCCGGACACCACGCAAGGAACAGGGGGCCATGACACCACCTAACCACCCCAGCCAGTACTAGATGGGGCGGAGCGAGCAGAAGGCCCTGCAAACTGCCAGCACTCATTCAGACACGCCGGCAGCCGTCCCTAAGTGCCAGCCTGAAGACGAGCAGAAAGCCAAGTCGGTGCCGGCCTGGAAAGGGGCTCCGCACACGGCCACACCGTCCCTGCGAGGGCGATGGTCCGCCCCGCAGGCCCGCCAGCCCAGACCCTAGGAAACAGGAAGACGCTGCTGTGTCCCCCCGCCCCCGGGCCCTGTGCGGGTGCAAGGAAGGCTGCAGAGCCCTGCCGGGCGGCGAGGCACACGGGTTAGAGATACTAAGTACGCCGCAGCTGCCAGCGGGGCACCGGGCCGGGCTGTGGGGACCCGAGGCTCTGTGTTCCGAGGAGCCACCGTGTGGGCCGCCCCAACCAGTCAAGGGTCCAGCGCCGCTTCCTGCCTCCAGCTCAGACCCCAGAGAACCCGGGATTCTGCCACAAGAGCTCTTCTTGAAAGCTCAGGAGCACAGAGGAGGAACCGGAACCAGACTCAGGGCACCTGGCCTCCATCCTGGGCTAGGGCCACGGGGGCCTGGGGAGCCCGGGCCAGGTCCTGTCCCCCTTCACACACACGCCGCTCCCGCACAACGGAGACACACCACAGGCTCGGAGGCGGCGGCCAGGCTGGGGCGACTCAGGGCTGGGCCCGGGCCCCGGAGACATCACCAAGCCCCGATGTCAGTGGCTACCTGCCAGGCCGCGGTTGGGGCTCAGGAACCAGCAGACACGAACGTGGCCCGGGACGTCCCCAACACCGAACTGCACCGAACGGGGCAGTGAGCCACGTTCACCACCCCCAGCCCCCCAGCAGGGCCGGCCACGCCGTCGGTCGGCTTTCTGCACAGTAAGGACACTTGGGTGTCTGCGGTGCAGGGACCAATGAGGGCTATGGCCCAGCCACCTCCAGCACCCGCGCACCAGGCAGGAGCCTGGTGGCCAAGGGCGAAGGCAGAGGCTTGGGTGGATATGACTGAGGCTCGAGAGAGAGATGTCAATTTGGAAAAATAAATATAAATAAATATGTTCCAAGGATCCTGTGAAGGGAATACACGGTAACCAGGTTTAAAGACGCCGGCACACCCACAAAGACCCCTGCCAGGGGCCTGTGAGACGGGGCGGGTGGGCCAAGGCACTTGAAGGAGCTGGCACTTGGGGCGGAGGGCGGAGTCCTTGCTGGGCACGGCAAGGACACTCAGGGCCAGGGTGTAAATTAAGACATTAGTGGGGTCACAGAGTTAAAAACAGGTGGGCACCACGAAACCCCAGCAGGGACACCCCTGGCCCAGGCTGTGCGGAGGGCCTCAGCCCCTGTCCCACAGCCCCTCCTGGCTTCCAGAAGCCCCCCATCCTCCACCCCCGAGAAAAGGAAGAAGCAAAGCTTCTGGAGTCCCAGGGAGCAGGGAACTAGGGGGGTCACCAGCCCTGCGTCGTGCAAAAAGCATTCCGGCCCTGCTCAGGAGGTCCCATCCCTGGCCACCAGGTGCCGCACTCAGCTGGCCCAGGACTTCCGGTTCTCCACGTTCTTGGGGCTCCTGTCAGCCTTGGCCAGGGCAGCCGTCAGTGAGGCCAGGTTGGTGGCAGAGCCTGAGAGGGTGGCGCTGCGGCGGACCTCGAGGGCACCCTGTGCCCGGAGCCCCGTGCTGCGCCTGCGCCCGGCAGCCTGGGCCTTGCGTACCCGGGCCGGCCGCACCAGCAGCCCGTAGCCAGGGTTGCACTTGAAGTACTGCTTCCCGCCGATCGAGCCGTCATTCTTTCCTGCAGGGAGCAGAGAAGGGACGTCAGTCGAGCCCCACTGATCTGTCACCTCCCTTCCCAGGGGTTCACAGGTGCTGCCCCCTGAGGCCAGGGCACATGGGCACCAGGGATGGGCACCCCGAGTGCTGTGGCCCTCTGGAGGGACATGCAGAGACAGCACTCTGCATCGTGCCCTCCAGCGGGCACGATGACCTTCCATCAGGATGGGTGGCATTGGCAGAACAACTCTTCCCCTAAGCCTCTTAATGCAAACTGGTAAAACTGCCGGAGTACCGGGACAGACCCCACGGCCGCGTAGGGTGCCAAGGCGCGGCAGTTTTGTGGGCAAAGCACTGAAAGGGCGTGTGCAGGGCAGGCGGCAGCTGGTGATGAAGCACACACTTTGAAGCCCCCTGCTCCTACTTCCCTCCTCTCTCCCCGCCTTGCTGGTCTGGATCCAGTGGCAGGAGGGCCATGGCTTAGCTCCCCTGGCCACACATGATGCAGAAGTTCAGATCTAACACGCTCACGGGCTCAGAGGTGGGGGTCTTGGAAGGAGATGATGACAGCACTGCCTCACGAGTGGATTCACCCAAGGATGGGTTCACACCCCAGTGGGCTGTCAGGAGTGGGCCTGGCTGGAGGTGGCCACTGAGGCATTACCAGGAAGGGCATATACTTGTCCCCAGCTCCTCCCTTCTTGTCCTCTTCCTGCCTGCCAGGGTGTGGAGCACCTTGTCTTCCGCCAAGCCTGGGGCCAGCTGGCCATGGGTGGAACCCTGACACTGCGCCAAGCACCCCTCTCCTCCTTTAAGCTGTGGGTATCAGATGTTCTGCAGTGACAGGACACTTCGGAGACCTGAGGCGTCCCGGCCCTGACAGGATCCCACGTGCATCAGACGCACTCCGGCCCCTCCCTCCCACTCTCGGGCCTTCCTCTCAGCCCACAGTGCACGGCCAGCCTGTCCTCCTTCTGTCTTGTACCCAGGCCTGCTCCTTGGCTCCTTCCTGCTTCGGGGGCCTCTCCAGCCCCGTCTACTGGCTGCAGCCTCCCGTCATCCCTCTGTCGTCTGAGTATGTTCACCACCTCCACAGCTGCCGCCACACTGAACCTTGATCCCTTTCCCCGGGGCATCTGGGGCTTTTGTTTTTATTTGTTGATTTCCTTCTTTTGAAGCAGGGTCTTCTCACTCTGTAGCCTCCCAGTGCTGTGGTTTACAGCCGGGCACCACCTCGCCTGGCGCTCTGGACACCTGCGGCACCTTCACTCTCCCCCAAAACCTATTCTCCAAGATAGGGTCTTTCAACCCCGGATGCCTTCCATCCACACTGGCTCCTGCACAGGGCACAGACCCTGGGGACGCGGCCACCAGGTGCCCTCAGCTCATGCTGCCTCACTGCTCGCCCCGCCTCGCCCCACCCCAGTGCCTCTGCTGCCTCCAATGCACCTTGCGGTCCGTCCCCCACCGACCCTCCCTGCCCCCGTTCTGCTCCCCATCCGTCACAGCATCCGCTGCTCTCAAAGCTTTAGCCATTTACTTAGTGACTTTCTCCTCTCCAGAATTAAAGTCCAGTTACATCAGGGGTGTGATGGTACCCTCAGAATGTAGAGCAGAACTGGAACACACTGTGTAATTACTTAGTACGCGCTGCACTGCGTGAATTAAATTATTTGCTAATCTCCCTTTAATTCTTGAGTTCAACTGCAGACATAAACTTGCTTCGCACTTCCCCTGTACACCTCAGGAGAAGCGGATTTAAAACAAATTCCCAGCCTGTGTGACATTAATCTTCTAGAATCACTTCCAATTCGAGCCATTCCGTGCCCAAGGATGAGCTTAAAGGCAGCAAGTGAGTTCACAGGGAGCACAGGGCCCAGGGACACAGCCAGCACCGGTGTGGCTGCCGCCGGGACAGGGCCCAGCACACTGTGGGCACCCCACCGACCTTCTGGCTCCAGCGCGGGTTCATGAAGCCGTCCTCTCCTCCACTCTGCCCTCGAGCTCCCACTGCACTCTCTGAGCCACCAGCCAGGCCCCAGGGGACCTGACGGAGCCCAGCCAGCCAAGCCGACCGCCTAGTACCGCGGGGCCCAGCCACTTGGGGGGACAGCCCGGCAAAGCACCAGCTGCAAAGCTCCAAGCCCATGGCGTCCACACAAAACCATCCACACCGACAGGCACAGCACCGGCCCTAGCACAGCTGGCACAGAGCCAAGCCTGGGCCAGACCAGGGCACAGCCGGGCTGCAGGCTGGAGGGGCGGCCACAAGGCCTGCGCAGCCCAGCAGACAAGGCCCTCCTCGCAGGTGGGAACAAGGCCAGGCGGGGCAGCTAGGGCTGGGAGGGCGCAGCTGCTGGGGACCAGGGTTCCGGGGCTCGGGGTGTGCTCTGAAGTCACACGGCGCCGAGGGCCCAGCCACAGATGCTTAGCAGCCCGCAAAAACACGCTGAGGGGAATGTCATGGAGTGTGAGCGACCGCTCAGAGAAGCTGATTAAGACAACTCCCCAAAGGCCCCGGGGCCGAACACTTCCTGAGGTCCTGCCCTCGTGACTGTGTATGAGACCCAAGCATGCAGAGGAACTCGTGTCACCCGGCCCAGAGCTCCCCACCTGTGGCCAGGGCACCCAGGAAGTCTTGGAACGAAATGGAGGATCCGGCATCACAAGGGCCCCCCTCCCACCTAAGGCTAAGCTACTGTGCTCCCTCAAACGCAGAGGCTTCTCTGACGGAGGAAAGTACATTTAAGGATGGATGTGGTGGCAAGCGGTTATCCTCCCAGCTACCGAGGAGGCTGAGGCATGAGGCTCTCTTTGGCCCAGGGGTTTGAGGAGAAACTGGGCAACACAGCAGGACCCCAATCTCAAAGGGGGGAGTATTAAAGCCGTTATAAACTAGATGTGGTGGCAGAGGCCTCTAGCCCCACCACACTGGGAAGCTGAGGCAGAGGATCCCAAGTCTGAGTCCCGCCTGGGCAGCTTAGAGACTTCATGAGGCTTAGAAATACAGCTCACTGCAGAGGCCCTGGGTTCATTCCGCACTACTGAAAAAACGAACAAAAACCCCACAAATGTCTAGTAACTTTTGGTTACCATCCTGGGTTTCTAGGAACCTTCCAGAGTTAAACAAGCAAACTCTCACCTGAAAGAGATCCTGATTGAGGATGGCGGGGCTGGGGCCCAGAGCACAGCCTGTCCTGCTGTCCTGCCTGACCCGCTGTCCCTACCACCCAAGGCCCCTCCCTAGCACTCACCGGAAGGCAGGTCGAGCTCCACGCCGACCCATGTGCCCTCCTGGAAGTCAGTCGGGCCGATGTACCGCACGATGCCCGTTTTGGTGGTGCCCACGGCAACATACTCCCCCTCTTTGAGCCACTCGGGCACTTCGCTGGCTTCCTCGGAGTCAGATGCCACTTCTGGCTTCCCGGCGGCCTGCTCCCCAGAGTTGCCAGGCCCCCCCGTGGCCAGCAGGTCCTCCTCGGCCCCAGAGCAGCCGCCGCCCAGCATGCGCGTGAAAGACTTCAGCTCCGAGGTGCGCACCTTCCGGATCCTGAATGGGGACGCGGGTGCCTGGGCGTCTGGCAGCAGCAAAGGCCTGGGGACCTCAAGCTCCGCGTACGTGGCAGGCTGCGCCGAGGGCTCTTCTGGGCCCGATGGGTAGCTCTTCGTGCCTGAAGGAGAGGCCACCTCCGCCTCTGGGTTCTGGCCTGGCGCAGCTGGGGAGCTGGGCGTCTGCCCGCTTGGGCCCGTGGCGTCCAGGCTGAGGGCAAGCGCGTCTGACAAGGTGGCAGTAGAGACGCTGTGCGAGAAGTAGCCACTGGAGGCCTCACTCAGGGGGCTGGGGGGCCCGTCCTGCCCCTCAGGGGCCGGGGTGACAGCAGTGGTGTGTGGAGGGGCCGGCTTGTCCAACACCTTCATGGCAGGGGCTGCCGTGGGCACTGTGGCCTCCGAGGCCACACCAGGCCCCAGGCTCCCTCGCTGAGCCTGCAGCAGAAGGAAGCACATCTGAGACGGGCGAGTCAGGCGACCCGCTCACCAGAACAGGCACACTGAGACACTGTACCCGTGAGGGGCACAGAGCCCGGCACTGCACAGGCACCCTCAGCTCTGAGCCTGCATCCGGGGGCGGCCAGGCCGTGCCCCGTTCCACTTCTCCCCTGGTGGCGCTCATCTCTGCCACCAGGGTCAGGGCCGGGGGGCGGGGCGGGGACGGGACGACAGCAGAAGGCAAAGGCTCTCACTCTAGGGTGGGGCGCAGGCAGTGGGTGTGGTAACTGTTCCCATGGAAACCCAACCTCTGCCCACTGTGAGCTCACAGAGATACAAGGGGACAACAGAAAGGAAAGCGTGATCTCATCAGAGGGTCTGAAGGTGCATCAGCAGCTCAGGCACGAGAGGCGCTGACCCAGCTGGGCACTCCCAACTTGGGTTCGGGGCAGGGCCAGGACCAGGGTCGGGCACCAGTGGGCCACGGCCTCCTGTGAAGTGGCTGTCCCTCTGGCTGCTGTGGAAGGCTGGGGCCGTGTCAGGGCCCCGGGGCCAGGAGGACCACTGGCAGAGGACAGAGCTAGGGGCAGCCGGGCTGCACGTGTCCCTCACATCACTCTGTCCACGTCACTAGGCAGAGGACACACGCGAAGCCACGTCCCAGGGGGCACAATGACAGCCACCGCTTGTCCAAATCTCACAGTGCCGGGGATGCCCGGGAAGGCGCTCTTCATCGACAACCGAACTAGCAGGGGCAGCTGGCCGGTTACCCTTCTGCTCCCTACCCTCGGTGTCGGGGGAAGCGGCGGGTGGGGGATGAGTGGGTGGGTACTGCTCAGAAGAAATATGTTTTCCAATATTTACGGAAAAATTATTTATATTACAGGAATGGTCATTTTCCATTTGAAATACACGATTTATTCGAACTGGGAAACAGCTGAGATCTATGAGTCTCTTACAGTTCCTTGGCCTAACGCCGCAGTTTGATAAATCATGCATTTTCCCGCGAACTGTCATTTGTATCCCTGTTTCCAGAGGCCTCCCCTCACCACGAGGCGCACTTTCAGGGGATGAAATTAACAGCACCTCTGGAGATTAACAGCCCGTTTCTGTGATGGATCTCGGGGCTACAGAACGTGCTCTCTCCAATAGATCAGTAACTGCCACCCGCACAAATACTCTAAAAGATTAGGCAGTCCTTCAATCCCCTTCACACTCTGCATGTGTTCTATGTATTCCTTTCTATTTAGGGTTGGTCTCACTGCCCACGGGGGAAGAAAACACACAAAACTACAGTGGAGACTCCCCTCGCCGGCCACCGGGACCATGCCGTCCCTCCTCACACCTACGGCGTGGCTCGTCCCCGGGAGTGGCCAGCGGAGGGCAGGCAGAAGTCTGCACACATCCATTTACACTGTGGCCCTAGAAGCTGAAGGATCCGTCCAAGAACCCAGGAAGCAGAAAGCCAGGGCTGAGGGCCGGATGTGCCAGGACAAGATGACAGAGGCCAGCACCCTGGCGCTGTTCCCCCAGGCTGCACCCAGACGGGCCAGCTGACGCTGAGCTGCTATCTTCAATGTCACTGGGGACGTTTCCGGAGGGCTCTTGGAAAACCACTGCTGAGGGAACCACCAGACCCAGATGGCAGCTGGGCCACCATCCCAGAGACAGGGTGCGCAGACGTCCCTGCCAGGACCACCCAGCCCGCACCCTGGGGAGGGCCCACGCGGTGCCCCCAGGAAGCTCACGAGCCTCGGAAGCACCTGGCGAAAGGGCCTTTCAGAAACAAGGGGAAGGGAGGTACGAGTGTCCCTTCAGACTACTGGGGAGATTTTGCTATTGTTCTAATAAATAAAACTTCCTATGAAGATCCAGCATTTCCTAAGAGAATGAAGCACAGTGGGAGAAAATAGATTTGCTATTCATAAGAGCAGAAGTGCTGTTGATCTGTGGGAGGTCATAAGAGACTATTTTCTCCCAGCTTAGCATTAGTCTTTTCACGCTGATATCATGAATCAGAATGAAATGTAAAACTGAGAATTAAGCAAACACTTAGGAGAAGGAGATCGTTCTGTTTATAGAAATCCCCTCTGCCTAGCAGTGGGCCATTAAAGCACAGACTACATTAGCAGTCAAGCACCCAAAAGTTTAGCAATCATATGATTAACACGTTGAAAATAGAAAGTATAACGCGGAAAATGTGGAAGGAGAAGACAGTGACCTACACTGTAGTTAATTATCAAACAGGAGTGCGAAGAAAAAAAACAGCACAGGTGTAGACAGAGCGATCCAGCACCAGCGCCACCACTGCGAAGGGGCAGCCCCGGCCCAGCGACTCACCTCCTCCGTCCTGGCCGCCTGGGCGTCGGGGAGAGGAGCCTGCACCAGGATTCGGGGCACGGGCTGAGGAGACAAGCGCGTGTGCCAGTCAGGGATCACAGGGGCCAGGACAACGGGACAGGTGTCCCCCGGACAGAGCAAGAGGCGTAGGAGGGGCCCTGCCGCCCAGGCCACAGGGGCAACAAGGGGCCCAGCCAGGCAGACAAGACACACTCCGGTCACCGCCACACGCGGGCGCTCGCACGCTCGGTCCCTCTGCAGTCGCAGTGCCCAGCCCTCGGCGGCTACACAGTGCAGCCAGAAGAGACCCAGAAGGACGCCGGGCTCATGGTCACACGTCGCCACAGGAAACGGGAACACGGGAAGCCGTCTGGCCCAAGTACCAGGCATAGAGCAAGCGTGGGCCTGAAACTAAACCGGTAAAGGAAAGGGGTCGCCAGGTTTCTGAGCGGAGACGGCAGATGAGAGCTGAAAATCGGACTGGGCTGGCAGCAGGACACAAGCTGGCGGGAGAACCGAAGTCTGAGGAGACAAAGCAGCTCCACAGCAGCCGTGAGGCACGGACCCAGCCTTGAGGCCTGGGTTAACGGGTGTAAATCAGGTGACAAGAAAGGACTTTATCACTTACGGAGTTACAGACACGATTCCAGGAAGGTTAAAGGAGAAAGACAAAAACGATTAGAGCCAGGATAAGGAAAGGACATCAGCAGGGAAAGGAACCAGCAACTCCGGATACGGCCCCTGGGTTTGACCAGGCCACGCGACACAGCAGCTGGCACGCAGGACGGAGGTCTCAGGCCGCCCTGCTTGGCTCCCCAGCACCCTTCTCCAGTGTGTGAGCTCAGGAACAAGGGCCCTGTCCAGGCGCAGAGGGCACAGGAAGGGCTCCTCTCCTCTGCTGGGCCCACAGGGGACAGAGGGTGGCGGCTGCACCACCAGACAGCTCACATCGACATCGAAAGGTCCCCTGGGCCTGAGGCTGTCACACGGTGGCCACCGTCTGGACAGAGCTCAGCCCGGGCTGTGGTCCTCTCTCCTGTCCCTCCACCCGTGACCCAGACCCGGCTGGAGGTTGGAGTGCAGGGGAAAGGCAGCCCATGCGCAGGTGCCAGCCAGAGCAGCGGGCACGGTGGCTGCACTTCTGCAAAGGGAACCACGTGACCACACGTGCCTGGGGCTGCCCGGGAGACACATGCTGGGGAGCAGCGGGCGTGGACAGACAGGACTGAAGTCAGGGCGCAGGGAAAAGGGCTCGAGGAGATCACAGCAGAACCGGCTCAGGGAAAGGACAGATGAGCTAAGGGAACGTCACTCCCCAACACGGTGCTGCCGCAGTGGTCACTGCCAGAAAGCACTGTGGTGGCCGAGCGAGCACAAGGGGGGGCCTGCAGCAGGAGCACCACCTCCAGTGCCAGGGCCTGAACGGGAGCCCCTCCGGCAGCCTCCTGACTCCTGGGCCAGACGGGTGGGCCCAGACTCGGGTACTGCAGCGCCCCAAGATTCCCAAGGATGCGCGACCTCCCTCCCCCTCCTGCACTGGGCCCACGGCCTCACAGCGCCAGGCAGAGGCCGCTGTCCCTGTGTTCTTCCCACAGTGTCTAAAGCCTCCCACAGACAGGAAGCTGCTCGGAGGACACTTCCTCATGAAGACAAAAACGCTGCTGAGGCTCAGACTAGTTACATCTGACGTAGGTTAGTAAGACCAGGGGATAAGCACTCCTACTGAGCTGAAGCTCACCCCTTCCCAAGCATAAAACTGTAGAGACCTTCCAGAGGCAGAAGGGTGACCACATCAGACAGAACCTTTCCTAGAAAGACATCATCTTTCCCTCAAGTAGACTCGTGTGATTATACAGTCCAGCACGTGCTTAATCAGTAAGTGCTGAAATGAATTTTAGGGCCAAATTGACTGCTACGCTGGTTTCAACTCCAGGGAACAAATCCTGCTTGGCACAGATTTCACGGGGTCTCACATCACCCGGGCTTGAACTCAGGGCCCTCTGCCGCACAAGGAACTGTCCAGCCGTGAGAAAGGCCATTCAGGCAAATGACTAATGCAGGTATACTGGAATGGATGTTTTCTTTGGTTTTGGTTTCCTGAGACAGGAGATATGCAGTGCGGCTGGCCTTGAACTCACTGTGTAACTCAGGTCAGCCTCAAACTCATGCTGATCCTCCTGCCTCAGCCTCCTGAGTGCTGGGATTACAGGCGTGTGCCACCACGCCTGGCTCTGGAATAGACATTCTGAAAGTAGAGAAAGTTCAGAGGAGAAATGATCACAGATAGGTGCCCGCAGGGGGTGACAGTATAGTGAGACTGGTGAGCCACACACAGGCAGGAAGCAGAAGTGCCCTGTGTGTGCTGTTCTGTCTACACACGGCTCTGACCCCAAAAGCCACTCCGCTTGCAGGTCTTGGGGTGAGACTCCCCGGCCTGCCTGGTGCTGGGCAGAGAAGGGAGAGCTGGGCTGCGAGGCAGAGGCCTGTGAGCTCCTGGGGGGATTTCACAGGCAACAGAGCGGGCGCGGGCTGCAGAATGAGGCTCCGGTAAGATCTATGCTCCCAACGGGGAACCCTCAGCAGAGGGAGACGCTAAACACACTGGATCAATTAAGAACTTACTTCAGTGATTCCATGGAGAACTCCTAAAAGCTTGAACTGGGACAGTAAAAGGAAACAGAAATAGAAATACAGCCAGCTGCAGAGGCTGGAGAAACACTAAAGACGACGCCCAGGGCGAGGAGCCCGGGTCACCTGCTCAAGTGGGAGCATGCGCGCAGGCTGCCTGCTTGAGCAAGGCCGGGGATGAAAACAGCAGTCTCTTAAGGGTCCCTGACCCATCCTCAGAGCATGCCGGAACCTCAACTGTGCCGCTTCTTCACACCTAACAGCTCTAATTTCCAAATGCGTATTGTTTGTATTTTAGTGCTCTTTCACACCCCCTCTACAGGCATCAGCTCTATTTCAGGAGCTCAAAACATTTCAGATCATAAGTTCATTAATCCTTACAACACATCTGGTAACTATTAATAAAAATGACTGCACAGTAGTTGGCAGCTATAAATATTAAGGAGAAGTCCCATGAGGCAAGTGAATATAATTGCCCACATCTCACACCGTGGAAACCAGCACCGAGAGAGCATCTACCCATTGGTTAAACGTGCTCAGGGCACCCGAGCAGTGACAGACACTGGAGGGGCTCGGGAGAGGACTGAGCACTGCCACGCACAACAGAGGAGCAGGGTCCAGCAGGAGGAGAGCTCAGAGGTGCTCCAGGAGCAGCCGAGGCGCTTCTTGCCATCTAGCAGATCTCACACCTGCTCTGACACACCACGTGATGGGGAGATGGGCTCAGAATCCAGAATCTGGCATAAAAGCTCTCCTGGGGCCCCTCCACCCGGAGCACACTATCTCCTTGACACGACACGGACAGCGTCTTTTCCCTGTTACACTGGTGCCTAAATGTCCACCCCCCCAAGCCTCATGCAGGCATGGGTGGGGCTTTTCAAAGGTGGCTGGATCTAGAGTGTGTGATTGACTCAGGGTGCAATGCCAGGATTAAGGGTGCCAGGATTAAGGGTGGGTGATTACTCAATTAGTCCACTGATGAGTTTGGAACTACTCTAATCCCGACAGGCTGGATACAATATAAGGGACAGAAAGAGACTTGTTTTGTCCCTTGCTTGCTTTGCGACCTTCTCCCCACCATGAACTGTTCCTCCTCTGTGAGGTCTCTCTGCCACGCCACCTTACCTTGCAGCTAGCTGATTATGGACTAAAAACCTCTACAAACTTGAGCTAAATAAACCTTTTCTCCCTTAATATGCGGGTGTTGGGTATTTTGTCTCAGTAGTGAGAAAAATAACTAAAACACTCCCCATCAGAACACAAGGCTTTCCCACCCCTCCTCACACTGCTCCTGCCCTTGGGAAGCACATCCACCAGAAACACTTCTTTGCCTGAAGTCTCAGAGCAGACATGGCCCCTCCATCCCAATTGGAAAGAAATGCCCATCTGTCAGGTGTCACCTGGGAAACACACCTCTGCCAGCACCCATCCTGCACATGTCTTAACTTTGGTCCCTGGGGCTTGAGGAACTTCTTGACGCCAAAGAGGCCAGTGCTGAAGGGCAGCAATCAGGTCTCATTCAGCTCTGTACTGCCACACATAAGGCAACTTCCTGCTTTTTTAAAAGACAGGGTCTCATTATATAGCCCAGGCTGGCCAGCAATGTGCCTGCCTCAGCCTCCTGAATACTGGGATTACAGCTGTGCACCACCATGCCTGGCAAACTTCTTCCGTGAGTGAACGAAGACCACACGAATTACTTAACAAGTAGCACAGAGAAGACTGATTTGTATACTGACATCGAATTTGGGAAAAAAACCAAGCCTGAAATTTCAGAATAAGGTAGGTAAAAAGAGAAAAGCTAATGGTTGAAGGAATAAGATAATCATTTTAATGCTGAATTCCCAATGCTGAATTTTCAGATACTTTTTTGGCTGAAAATAAACCTTTCCTAATAATCACCTGCCACCCTGAATTTCTTAAATGTTATCCTAATGGTACATAAATTAATACTAACCAATAGTTTAAATCCAAGTACAAGAAATTATTTTTACAACAAGAGATGTAAGTTTCATTTTTTGCTACAAATAACCAGGAGCCAAGACCTCATTTCTTTGCTGCTAAAGTGGGAAAAACAGAAGCAAGCAGAAGCAGCGCATGAAGCAAGTACTGCCTGATCTTCCAAACCACTCTGATAGAAGCAGCCGGGCAGATAAAACCCTGCCACAGGTCACCTGGAGACCAGACTCAGCCATTCCTCACCACTGCTGCTCAGCTGGTTCACCTGGAAGAAGGTGAAGAGGCCGACTGGGGAGGCGGCTGGGGGAAGCTTCCAGCCTGGCCCACAGCCGGGTGGCGCCACGGTGGCACCCAGTGCTCTCTGTGCTGGCTCCTGCACACCCACATTCCTGGCTGCCTGATGCTCTGACTCCATGAGCCAGGCTGATCTGAAAGTGCTGTTGGGCATAGTGATGCTAGCATTCTGTCCATCTGGC